CAGTGCTTTAAAGTCATGTCAATGTTTATTTAAAGACGTTTTAATTAGTGGAAAAATTGCAGGGGGGATATAAAGAAACAATTCTAATCAACCAAAACTTTTGCGACCCCCCATGCAGTACCTCTGTGGACCCCATAGGGGTCGCGGACCCCCTGTTGAAGATCTACGATCTACAATAAAATTTTTCTTCCATTTAGGATTATTAAAGTACTTTTGAAATGACAGTACAGACTGTAGTACCAGCTTTAGTACCAGTACTTGTACCAGTGCTTGTGTACTCAAAGAGGTACTGACCAAATCAACTGTTGTATGAGTTGTGGTACCAGAATGGTGACTGTGGTACTTAGTAGAACCAAAACTGTGTTCAACATTGCTGATGGTATAGATAGCAGTATCAGCAGTGGTAGAGTGCTGCTGGCTGTAGTAAGTCTGTAGTATCAGTTTTAGTGTGTGTAGTACCATGTTTTAAACTGTAGTACTGGCATTCTGTGGTCTTCTTTCTGATTGGTTCACTGCTGTCAGCTCAGGATGCAGTTTCCATGGTGACGCTGTGTGTGTCTCTCCCAGCCTGTGATTGGCTGATGATGGAGTGGGCCAGCGGGCCAAGCCTCTGAAAGCTTCGGCGTCTCACTTTCTGTTGCATTTCAGCTCAGAGAGACGAAGAGACGCTCCTCTTCCTCACTGCTCTCTCCCTCCATCTTCCTCCTACTCCTCCTCCTCCTATTCCACTTTGCTGGCTCTCCTCTTCCTCCTCCTCCTCAGACAGACGGACTGGTCCAACTCCTCACCTTCATCGCTTCAACCATCATCATCTTCAGAGGAAGAAGACAGGGAGCCCCCTGACCCTCGCCATGGCAACGGTCATCAGCACGCGGTTCTCTGATGAGTACCAGCTTTACGAGGAGCTGGGGAAGTAAGTACCACCTTCAGCATCCTCCTCATCATTACTGACATCAAACTTTTTTACTGCAATTTTTTTTCATTTTAATTATTTAATTATTTTAATTATTATTTATAGAAAAGCTAAACGTTCAAAAATGTTTTTAATTAAGTGACGTGATTTTTATTCTCCTAAAACTGAAAGATAGTAATAATTTACATGATCATGGTATTAGTAAAAACCTTTACTTTTGATTGAAACAAATAGTTGTTTATCTTTAATAAATAATAAACAGACAGCCTGATGGGCAACATTAGATCAATAAAAGCATTAGCAGCAAGTGTACCTGCTGTGAGTAAAAGAAGGATTATCATAGATTAACATCAATTAGATCAGGTATGATGATCCGCTAAAGATCATTAAAGTTTCTATCAGCTATAGATCGTAATCCATTAGATGATTTTTAGATCAGCTATAGATTACTGATTAGCTGCAGGATAAACACATCCCTGGATGGATGGAGGGAAGAGTGAAGCACCTTTCTGACCCCGTCCCACTCACCACCACCCACACACACTCACACACACACACACAGTAACACACACTTAATGCCAGGTCTGTTACATAATGTGATGTGGGTGGCAGAATGCAGCTTTCAGAAGAAACAGAACGCTTTCTGCTCAAACTCTGCTGCACTTCCTCAAGAAAAACCACCGACACTCAGTGTCTTCAATCAGACTTCATCAGTCATTTACTGACCGATTTCTTTCACTGATCCAGAACAGATGCAGGAAAAAAACAGTTTGATGTTCATGTAGATGATCATGATGTGATCCACAGACACTCTCGCTCATTCACCTCAGCTCATCCTTATGAATCATAAAATGAAGGTAGCTATGATGAGATCTGGACTGTCTAATCGGTAGTTTTTTAGACTCTGTCCTCAGGACCCACCATCCTCCATGTTTAGGTATTTCCCTGCCTCCACACACCTGACCTACATCAGTGGGTGATTAGCAGGCCCTGGTGGCTGCTGAGTAGGAGGAGAACAATCATTAGATGAAGGTTTGCTGCAGCAGAGACACATTTGGAACATCCAGGACATTAGGTCCTGAGAACTTAGAGGGAAACCACTGGTCTAGACTTTCCCCAGGAGGAAAACAACTCAGTCAGCCTCCAACCTTCCAGGTGTGAACGTCCCAGAAGATTTATCCAGCTTCATCCTGACTCTAAAGGCCTCATGTAACAGGTTAAGAGCTAAAGATCATGGCCTTGTGCCAGTCTGTTAGGAGGGGTTCAAAGAGAAAACCTCTTCTCTCTAGACCCGAGATGGCAGCGGGGGTTAGGTTTGACACATCTTGGATGATGTCTTCTGGACGACTGAGGCCAGTGGGGATGTTTCACCACAAAGTAGAGAGTCATGGTTGGAGGAAACCAAATCCGCACAGACACCTGCGGAGTAAAAAATTTTGAGATTTGTCTGTTTTTAGCCTCACAGGCTCCAAACGAAGGTGATGAGAGATAAGAATGAGTTCACACAGCCTCCTTAATGGCATGAAGGGGAGGACTGTTGTTTTGAGAAGATCCATCTGACCAGTGAAAGATATATGAATCTATCAGGGAATGGTGTTGATGAACTCAAGTTGTTTTTCCTCCAAATGTTCGTGCGTGAGAAAGTTCTTTATGTAGGGGTGGGATAGTTCCAAGGGAGAGTGTGTGTATTGGGAGTTGCTGTATAAATGTATGTACTGAGCTTGCCCCAGTCAGAGCTCTATCTCTCTGTCTGAGGACGTTAAATAAATCTGAACATTCTCTTACAAGAGTCTCAGCTTCCTCCTCACACACCTCAGAACAGTTCTGAAGCACGGTGGTGGAGGAATGACTGAGGACACCTTCTACCCTGCTAGGGTAATGAGTCAGTCTCTGCAGGCCTGCTCTGGTTTCAGGACTGGATGTCCTGGAAGTAATGCTGTGGTAACAGAAATGTCATTAAGTCATTAAGTAAGCCTGGTGTATGTGAGGAGCACCATTTTTTGAGCACATCATGAGGTGATACATCGGTAGCAGAGACAGATCTTTTGGATCAAGGAATCCGGTTCAGATCATCCTGTGGGATGTACCTGTAAAGCCGGATTAGCTTTGGACGCTATCTGTCCAACTACAGACCAGAGGTCTCCTTTCTGAAGGCTGCATTCCCACTAAATGGGGCCTTTAACTTTTTAAGAAAATTGCCCATGTATACGCTCATTTTGGAGGCGGGGGACAACTGGTGACAGATGGTGAGAAAGAGAAGTGAGGCTGCATTACATGATTGGTCTCAGAACTCCGTATCAAACTTTAATACTAACTTCATTGAAAACCCCAGATTGATGTATGTTTACACCTGTAAGCCAAAACTAGACCTGAGGACAGATTCCTCTCACCGAAGTTGAGCAGGTTAAACTTCCCACAGGTCAACAAACTAAGGTGTCAAGGTGTAAGGTGTTCTCAATGATTGGCTGTGACACCCTGACTGATGCTGTAGGGTAGATGCCTTGGCTATACTGGAGGATGATGGAAATTGGAGGTTTAGGAAGGATTCACCAAGGTTCCCTGGTCCCTGATGATGACAGGCTTTATGAACCAATCAGACTCCATAGAACATGGCTGTGGATCTGCTCTGCTGAACGCCTCATCCCTGTTCATCACTGGTTTTGAATGAGAGAATGAATGAGTGAATGGCTTTAATTCAGACAATCAAGTAAATAAAAATGTAACACATGAGAACATTATGGACAATTATTGGTATATATAACTTTGTAATATGTATAATTTAGTGTTTATGTCTGAAAAGGGGAGTAAAGGAGTCAATCTTTATTAATTAGATCCTTTCAGCTTCCAACAGTCTATTACATCAACATTCATCCTAGTTCCTATTTACCTTACTAGTCCAAAAGTTTATCAAGTGAGCAAATAAATTAGTTTATCCGCATAAATTAAATATATCACAGCCAATTCTGAGCTCCATACACTCTCTCTCTCTCTATATATATATATATATATATATATATATAAATTAATATAATGGTTATTATGATTATAGAATGGTCCTCTGGGAACCGTTAACCTTTCATGCCACATTTGGTTGTCATATTTCCTGTTCTGTTCGATCTTTTTCTTACTGCTCTATCTTTCTGATCGTTGAAAGTGCAAAGGTCTGTGTGAATTCAGGAAACTCTTATTGTGACAGTCTGGTCTGCGGTGCTAATTGGTTCCGCCTGCTCTCTTCCAGGGGAGCGTTTTCAGTGGTGCGTCGCTGTGTGAAGGTTCTGTCGGGTCAGGAGTACGCCGCCAAGATCATCAACACCAAGAAACTGTCTGCTCGAGGTGAGAGGCTGAGAACACGTGCCTGACATGATGGAGTCTCTCAGTTTAACACACAGTCCTCACACCTGCTGCTGAGCCACAACCTGTTGCTCCAGAACCAGCTGAACCTTTAGGAACTGGAACACCATTGGCTGACATGACTTATCCATGAGATAAGAAACGAACACAGTTAGTCAGAAGGAGCAGCTGCTCCTTCACCAACAGTGACCTAGGAGAACTTTCTACTTTGAAGAAAAGCAACCAGTTGGAGGGAGAAGCGGATTCATTTAGGAGAGACATGGCAATTAGACCAATTAATGACCAGGTAGAACAATTAGAGACTTTAGACCATTCAGACCAGTCAGACCATTTAGACCTGCTGGGTAATTTAGAACAATTAGACAGTTGGACCAGTCAGTTGGACCAGTTAGACAAACTAGAGCACTTAAAACAACCAAACTACTTAAGCTAGTTAGACCAGTTAGATCAAAGGGATCTGAACTAGAACTTAAACTATATCAACCAGCAGATAAACTTCAGGCCTTCACAGGGCTGAACCAAAAGGCCTGGTTCACTCGGACCTCTCTGCCGTCTAGGTTGAAGGGTCGGATTTATCTCCGTCCTTTAGGTATTCCATCTAAACTGCCTCTGTGGCATGATGAGACGTCTTACCCACATGGTTCTCTTTGCTATTCTGGGTTCTAGATGGCTTAAACCGGGGTTTTAATGGAGGTGTGAAATTGTTGCACATGTGAGAAACCTAAAATAACTGAGCCTAGCAGAACTTTACCTGAACCAGATGTGGCAGACAAAGATCTGTCCCAGAGTCCATCAAGGTAGTTCCATTCTGGTGGACTTGATTGTTTCTGGGTTTTTCTCACAAGATGGTTTTAATTCATTTGGTTCAAAAAAATCACTGCAACTGGGCCATACCACAACCGCGCTTGATCAACCAATTAATATCCTCCAACCAGTGAGCTGAGGGGAAATTAGCCAATCAGGGCGCTTCTAGTAAAGCAGTTAAAATGAGAACATAGTCTAAATGGGCTGGCCCACTGATGAGTGGCCAGGGGTGGCCATAGCCACTCTTACCCAATCATTGGCCACCTCTGTGGCCACCCCTACCATTTTTCCCCCTCTAATAGCGGTGGCAGCAGTAAAACTCTCAAGTGAAATATTCATTTTAATTTTTCATATATTACTTACTGTTTTTTCATGTGTTCATAATTTCTTGACAACGAAAACACAGTGCTTAATTATTCACAACAATATACTAACATTAAAGAAGATAAGTAGAGAATTCATGCTCTTTTCAGAACTAGTTTGTGTTAAATAATGTGTCTCTGCAAGTCATCTAGGAGTCTTCAGTGAAATCATAGATAAATAACAATATTGATAAAAACGTATTGAATAATCAATTTATGTAGATATTTGTACTTGTAAATATCAATTTTATGCAGAATGATTATCGATAAAAGTAGGTAAGTAATGATAGTGGAAAAAATGCCCCAGAACTCAAACATGAAAGTATTGTATCCACTATACCTATTATCTAGAAAGCACGGATGTTTAAATATGTGCATTTATTTGTTAGCAAAGGCAGTAGGAAAGTATAGTTAGTCTTATCTTTGGCTTGAACGTGAGGTTCTGGCGCCTATCCACCTTCGGCCACCCCTCAGTGATCATTGGCCATCCTTTTCTCTGGCTACGCCTCTGCCTCTGTCTCCAGAACCATACGCCAGTAAAGACACTAGGGATTATTTCCAGGAAGGTGGTTCTGAATGAGATCATCCATCCTGGGCGCATAGGATGATTGGACCAGGACCAGTCGTGTTCAGAGTTATTTGGTGGCCTTTAGCCTCGACTGAGGGAAACATCTAGAGAAGGGGAGGTTCCTCAGTAGGTAGAGGTAAAAAAACGACCTTAGGCTGAGTCCGGCAAATGGAGCAAATAACTTTGGATCATTGCAAAGGAACAGAGTGACGTTTGTTCTGGAAATGATCATGAAAAGTCCTGAGAAAGGTTTAACTGGAAAAGAGTGTGAGATGTTTCCAGTTAAACCACTGGGATCCTCTGGACAAGTAAAAACCAGTAGAACCAGTCAGAACCTAGAAGCCCCCCCCACCCCCCACTCAGAGAACAGAGCAGCTGTGAATTCTTCTTCTCTGGGAATATTTTCATATCTCTATTCTGGTTTTGAGATTTCCTCCGGTTGCTTAGCAACAGGCTGCAAAGTTAACAGAAAATTGTGCGTGTGTGTTGGTATGTGTGTTTTGTTACATAAGGAACCTGCAGCTGTTGAACACATCTGAACCATCAAACAGCTGCACCTGACAGAAACTCTCAGACTGGATCCATTATTCTGGATCAATCCAGGTGGGGAACATGGAGAACACTGAGAACCTGGAGAACGTCCATCAGCAGCTGAAACAAACCCTAAACTTCACCATCTGTCCTCCAGTTAAAACCTGGGCAGAACAGCCCAGGTCTGACCAATCAGAGCTTCTCCTCCCTGAGCCCATTAGGCTTCCACTGATGTTTTCTTGCAGACCCTCCTCCCTGAAGCTCCTGCAGAAACAGTCAGCTGTGGAACCAGTAAACTCAGCGGCTCTGTAATAACTGGTAATAACTCAGCCTCATGAAGTTAACGTGTCCAGCAGCCAGAGCGCCTCCTCCACATTTCTGCTCCTAACGAGCTCCAGTTACACAACTGATCATCATGAGCAGCTTATTATTCCCTCTGCATCCTGCAGCTCTTCTCCACATTTTATTGCGGCTGCTGAGAGGAGCGGCGCCGCTTCCTGCTCATCACTCTGACGATGATCAGAGAGTTGCATCAGATCACATCAATCTGAACCTGATTCTGCTCTGCAGGGATTCTGGTCAGAGTCTGTTTATTTAGGACAGATTAATCCTCTGGATCTGATCAGAAGGAGCCACTTTAGAAGCGTTTGTATTCTATCCGATGACCTGCAGGGAGCGCCTGCCTGGAAAACATCCTAAGGACCAAAGGACAGAAATTCAAGCTCAACCCAAATTCATCAGAACAACTTTCCGGAGGGAGGAATATGTTCCCAGTTTCTATGAACAGAAACAGCAGCACAAAAACACTTTTTTCATAGCTGGATGCACACATTCAGACTATCAGCAGCAGCAGGCCGCTCTGACCAATAATCTCTGTTTGTTTTCAGATCATCAGAAGTTGGATCGAGAAGCTCGAATCTGTCGTTTACTGAAACACCCCAACATCGGTAAGTGGTGCCAGAGCTGCTGCTAGAGGAGGAAGTGATGTCATGGTGGACATGCTGCTGATAAGATGATTAAATAATCTTAGACCAAAGAACCTTACTTTTAAATCTCTCGCCACCGTCTGATGATGGTGCTCTACACCTCCAAACTAGGACCCTGTGAGACCTTTAACATCTCAAATTGATGTTATAGAAGATACCTACAGTGATCTTCATCAGTGTCAGGCGTAGATTCCAGAATGCCCTCTCATAACAAATGTCAGATGAACGTTACGTCCAATCCTCTGTGATTAAACATCTATGCTGTGATCATTGTCTACAGTATTTACGTAGCAACAAAATCCACTTCCTCTATCAGCCAACCCTGCTGCACACGTCAACCTGCTGCACTCTGTTAAACTAAAAGCTACAGATATGAATAAGCCTTTTAATGTTCGGCTCAGCTATGATCATTGAAAAATATCTAATAGCTTAATGGAAACATAATGAGAGAGGATGTAAAGCATGCAGAGGACAACCTGGGGATCGACTCAAACGTTAAAACTTTAACACCATGCTTCCTGTTCGACATCTTCAAAAAATCTACTTAAAATCAGCAAACATGTCATAATTAAAGATGGTCCAGCAGTCTGGTTCCATATTGGGTCCAGTTTCATCTGTCTACAGGTCCTATGTTCATGAGTTCTAGTAATTATTACAGACAGAAACATGAGAACTTCCAGCCGTCATACAGACCAGGAAGGAGCTGGCTGTCCCAGAGATGGATGTGTTCTGGTCTGTAATTAACCCCAGAATGAGTCATTATCTGAAAGACCACTAAGAGAGGATGAAGCCAGGTCTTCCAAAACAGCAAAAAGCCAGTTTTCAGTTTGGAAACAAGACTCAGAGACAAAGACCTTGGTCTGTGTTCTGAAGACCATACCATGCTGACCAACTTCATATTTGGTTAAAAGAAAATAAAGAAGCTGAGAGTCTGAGGACACTATTCAGCTGTGAAGTATGAGGTGATGTATTATGCTGTGGGGTGGTCTTACTGCACAACTTGGTTGAAATGGAGGTCTTCTGATGGACATTGCCCCTCAGCATTTTTGCAGATTAGTTACAAAGCATCCATATGGAGGAGTGTTTGTCGCAAAGCTGGTTGTTTAACTTTAGTCTGAGGATGTGACCTTAGCTGCTACTGGGTCATAGCAGGGCGGGATCCTCCCAGTCAGAGTCCTGACCATATATCCATATTGCTCTGCAGCAGTTTGTATGTTATGACCTAGGACTTACTGTGTTCTTATCCGGCTGGTGCATCCTCTGAAGGCCAGATTCGTCGGCTGATTAAATCATACTATGGGGGCGTGGCCTGTTCGGATTCAAACGCTCCTTCAGACTCTTTCCTTCAGTGCAGTGGATAAATGCAGCCTTCTGTTCACTCATTTTAAAGGACAGGTCTGGTGTATCCTACATAGACTTGGGTATCCCTTGATTCATTGCAAGTCCAAACAAGCCGGCTGCTCCATGCTCAGAGGAAAAAGGGAAATGGCGCCAAACAGTTGTAAATATTGTGAGTGCAGTTGAGTATAATGCAAGTATGTGAATAGATCTGTCTGAAATTAATGAAAATAGTTCAGTTATTGAATCAGATATGTGTGGTGACAATGTTTGGTTTACTGAAAGGTTTTTATCTGTCCCTGTGCAAAGGGGTTTGGCTGACATTTAGGCACAGATTACTTTATATCTGCAAAGTGGGAACTACAAAACTGTGAATCTGTGAAAACGGTACTGCTGCTGAAGCTCCTCGACAAGGAAATTAGCACACAGAACAGGGTCAATTGGAACAGAAGCGTACTTGGCCAGAGGCTTGCCCAGCTCGTCTAGAGCTGCATTTCATCTCCTGTTATTAATAGTCTCTAGATAATAATAAATTATTACTTTTTTTAATTTAGTGGGGGAATAATAATTAACACAGTCAGATAAACAGAAATCAAATTAACATTTTGCCATATAAAACAAAAAACTCGCCATCAGAGCAATGTCGAGAGAGGCTGCTGCAGACGAGCTAGGATTAGACCTGGCTGCCATTACCCTCGGAGGTCCACTGGCCGCGGTCCTCTCAACTTCGGAAATGTATTTTTAAAATGACGCATTAAATCGCTAAATGGTAAAGTATAATATTCTCGCCTCAAATGGTCTTATAACGTAGTTTAATAGAACAACAGCAACAGAAAAGACAACTTTTAACTTAATACTCTGAGCTCTGTAAGCGCTCCATTAAAAGTTGAGGCTGCCGCAGGACATGCTGGGACAGCTGTCAAGCTCAAGAATGGACAAGTCTGCTCTGATGCATGCTGGGTAAATAGGGAGGGGCAAGAAAAACATCCGGGGACTTTGTCCGTTCTCGTTTTGCTGTTCTTGTGAATTGGAACAGTACTAGGGCTGAGACTGATGACGTTTCACGAGTACATGAGCGCATGAGAACGCACTAGTACACAAATTGAGAATGGGCCTTATTTTCACGGCCTTGGAAGGACCCAGTACAGGTAGACCGGGTCCTCGGAGGATGCAGCCACTTGATTGGAATACAACCTGAATTTTTAGAGGATCAATAAGGATGACTGATTGATTAATTTGCCAAATACTTTCTGTTCTTTAACTTTGTTTTTCCATCAATCAATCTTCTTCCCCAACTAATCCAACAGGGTCACTTTGGGGCTGATTTCCAGCAGTCAATGGGCCACAGGACAGGTCACCAGGTCACCAGTCCATCACAGCACAACACAGAGGCTACGTTCACACTGCAGCCTGAAGTGACCCAATTCCGATTTTTTTGCCCATATGTGACCTGTATCTGATCTTTTTATAACAGTCTGAACGACACGGATCGGATTTTTTCAAATGCGACCCAGGCCACTTGGATATGTG